CTCTCTCTCTCTCTCTCTCTCTCTCTCTCTCTCTCTCTCTCTCTCTCTCTCCCCGTAACAATAATGCTCTATAAGTACCTGTTAGATTCACACAACCAACTTCAAAATTCACATCACATGGATCAAGTACCAAAACTGCGGTCTCCTGCATCTCCAAGCCCAGGAACTATGAACCTGAAACATGGATGCATATCAAACACATCAATATAAATTTTATCATTTAGATTTTAGAAAAGAGCAAGTTCATAATAATGTTAACAAGTCCCATGAACTACAACATATTTTTTTGGCCTCCTGCGGAAGTTCTTATCTTTTCCTCACTTTTTTCAAAGGTTTCTTTTCCTGCTGCTTTGTAGAGCAAAACTTCTTATTTATGGAGTAAGGCACGGATTGTTCAATACATCTAATATAATATGGGTACCACGAAGGTAGGGAGGAATGTGTTTGTACTTTGCACCTCAGATGGGCACTAGATGGCAATGTTGCGGATAAGATGATATATCATGACCAAAAGTACCAATGTTGCTACCATTACTGCTAAGGTTAGTCGATTGCTATAGTACTTCTTTCCCTTATCAGGACAACTATTATGGCCATTGATTCTTCATAACGAATATGGCAATTGTTTTTGCACTAAGATGTGCATAGAACCAACATTTATGTTGCGAAAGTAGGAATTGGAAAACTAGGAACAGAAATAATACCCTTGCTCATTTATGGTGGGATCAATTGTTCCTGTGTACACATGGAGCCTGGAGAAAGTATAGGGTCAGTGCTCAGTGCATGGAATCATGGTTTTAAGGGTAGCGTTTAGGCAGAGTGATCTTTACCCAGGAAACGTCTCACTTAGCTTCTGGAGAGCAGGAGGGGCTGCTACAGCTGAAACCTAAAATGCATTCACAACATCATTTTAGTGGACATCAAAAGAAGAGAAAATGAAAAATGAAGCAAGTACTCTTGGAATTTTGGTAACATGACATAAATAAATTTTTTTATTATAAGTTTCCAAGCAGAGTGCCGAAACTCAGCTCGGGCTCAGGACTTGTCCCTTGCCTAAGCTGAGTTACTCGGGACTCAGGCAAGTCTGAGTTGACTTCTCTGAGTCCTGTTTGCGCGCACAAAGGGCACCACAAAATAAATAATAATAAAAATACTGGGAAAATGTGAAAATTTTAAACAGCGAAACTTCATCAAATGGTTCGATTTTCATCAAGTATCGACCAATAAATTCAAAGAAGTCAAAGTTTTTACAAAATAGGGAAAAAAAAATTCCCCAATTCTTCAATCTATAAGATGCAAGAAATCTAATGGTTTTTTCTCCAAACTAATGCTTCCAATAAGTAGATCTACTGATTTGCTATCATAATTTGAAATTTTGGATTGAAAAAGCAGATTTAGGGCTCCTACACCCAAGAAAAATGGAAAATTAGGGGACAGATGTCTGCCCCCTTTATATTTTTCTTTTCAGTGATAGTACTTGGGCAAGAACTGTATGAACTCACCCGATAACTGTATAGGTGCATTCAGCCCGATGCTGTGCACATTAGAATCACCTTGGCATCATGCCAAGGCCGAGTTCCACAGCCGAGACTGAGTCAACTCGGGCGAGTCTTAAAACACTGTTTCCGAGTGATTTCTAAGCATAACAAATGGGTACCCTAAGAGAAAGATTGCATGCGATAAAATAAAAAGAAGCTTCCGCACTTAATCTTATCAAACAAGTGTTTTCAGTATCAGTTACAAAAGAAAAGTTGTTCCTGTGTGGCATATAGACATAAGAGAGAGAGAGAGAGGTCCAAAAAATCAAAATCTCAAGCAACAGGCATTACCACTCTTATTAGCTTGTGGTCAACACCACGCTCTGTTAACAAGTCAATTGTCTTCACAATGGTCCCACCTGCAACCATGTTTTATTGCAACATGTGAAAGAGAACGAATGAGTTGAAATTAAGGCCAATATCTAGCTAAATCGACATCAACATTAATATCAGGCTATCTATCTCCTACTAGAGGTAAAAACAGATGAGAAAAGCTCATCCTCTTTATTTTAAATTTCTTTATTTTATTTTAGTTTTATTTATGGGTGGCCCTGCCGAATAGGACCAACACGCTTGATCCGACTTAGGCAGTGTTCGGCTTGACTATGTGGACATTTGGCCCAGGATTGGGTCAAGGAAGCCTAGCCTAGTCATAATCGGTCGCACCAGGACCATGGTTCTTGCCCCAAATGGCCCAAGTGCCCCAACCAATGCAGGTTAAGGCAGTTGTGGTGTTTCAACCGGTGCTATGAAGCACCGAGATCATCAGCAAAACCAAACAAGGCACTGCATCCTAGGCATTAAAAATTGAACCTTCAATAAATACATCTTATTACCTAAGAAATATATTATCTTACAACAGAGACAATGAACTTTTCAAATTAATTGTGAGTGAATAAATTAGGTAACATGCTCTTTGAGAATTACGGTGAGAGCGAAGGGGTCAGAACAAATGATGAGGTCTTCGTGACAAAACGGGTTGGAAAGGCTTAACAAAGCAAAAAGATTCACAGAAGAGAAAAATATAAGAAAACATCACCCACAAAGAACTTTCTTGTAGACGACAGTTGAGATGCTTAAGAAGAGTGACTGATGAGAGAGAGGAAAGATAAAGGGTGTAGATAGAGAGAGAGTATAATGGTTTCTAGATGTGTTTAAGAGCAGTGTTTTGAAAATTGGGGACTCGGGCTTCGAATCTCCTCAATCACTTGGACTTGGCAAGCTGTCGGGTCTGGATCAATAATCCAAAGACTAAGGACAAGTCTGACCGCAGTCCCTGTTTTTCCTGGTATTCTCATAGAGACTCGGCCGAGTCGGACCTCAGACTTGGCTTGAGAGCCTGGAAATCTGAGCCCGAGGTTAATCACTGAGTTTGTGTGTGTGTGTGAGAGAGAGAGAGAGAGAGTATACTGGTTCCTAGTTGTGTTAAATTTGTGAGAGAGAGAGAGAGAGTGTGGGTATATTGTGATTCTAGATGTGCTAAGTTTTACACACACACACACACACATAAGATGCTGTAAGAGAGAAAGGAGTTTCATGGGTTTCTAGATATACTAAGTTTGAGAGAAAGGAGTTTCATGGGTTCTCAGAAGTGTCCGGTTGAGTGAGAAACCATGCGTGTTGCAATAAGGGAGAGAGTAGGTCTCTTGGGGGTTTCTGATTATTAAGTGTAAGAGAGAAAGAGAGAAAGCAAGAGAGGAACAGAGAGATTATTGGTATTGCATGTCTCAAGTCTGATAGAAAGAGTGAGACAAGCAACATCAAATTTTGTATGGAACAATTAGTCCCACATCATTTAAGGACAAGAGAAGGGGGATAGCAAGGGACTATGAAAGGAGAGGGTTGAGGGAGTAACTTGTTCATCATGGTCTAAGTTGGGAGGGCGGGGCATCCTATTTCATCGGATTAGGCAGTGGCCAGGCCTGATAAAAATCAGGCAAGAATGGGAAGGCCTTAGGCTGGTGTTGCATAAAGCAGAGCAAGTATTGCATGAAGCAGTCCGAACAATTCCAAAAGCATATAGCAAATGGTTCTCCCTAACATTTAACAAAGACATTGAGTAGAACCCATCAATCCATCTATATTGTTGGTTGCTTTAGATTTGCAACTCGAAGTCTCCAGAATTATATAAAGTCAAACTGCACACTGATTTGAGGACCAATTTCCTACCTGTTGCAAGCATTGGGTCAGCAACAAGAACACGAGATCCCTCAGGAACCTTGTCAGGCAGCCTGCAATAAAAACAAGCAGCCATGCATGAGATCCTTAAAGGCAATATAACAAGTGATGATGTTAGGAGGAACAGAAGAATTAGTCATTATCATAAAATCTGAATAAACAAATGACTGCATGAGATGCTTCCTTTTTCCCAAAAAGTAAAGAAACACAGTGAGCAGCCATCATCTCTAAAGACCTTGACGCTAACATTGAAAAACAATGCTCAAATTTACACTTTTTGTTTAAATAAAGAAATAAAGCTGAAATCATAACCGCACACCATTTCAAAATATCTCAACTAGTAACATGAACAACACCTGCCGCTTCAAGTAACGCCTATTAATAAGGTTTCCATCATCTTTAGGGAAACATTTTTCATGTAAGAGGTAAAGTGAAGTCACAACCATCTCAAAAGACCTCCATCCAAAACAATCGAAGTTCTGATATCAATAGCACCATAGTT